AACTCTTTGCTTCCACAAACTGCCGGAGTTTACCCCGCAGCAAGTAGGTAGGAGTACAACTCCAGGCATGACAGAAACTATTGTTCCTCACATCACCATATGGACTAGTCTTGGCATCATTCGCATCGAAACACTCCCAGAAAGTGTCCGCACCAGCTTTCACCATCTTCCCCCAGTATGAGGTCATGACGTCAATACACTCCTGGTAGCACCCGACAGTTGCTAGAGCGTCGCAGACATGATGCCACAGGTACGGTGTTAATGGCTTAACCACATCTGGATGAGCCAGTGTCTTGAGAAGAGCAGTGCGAGCCGTTTGCTGCGGAAATGCTTCGGAGAGGACTAACCAAGCAGCAGAAGCGTACGACACCTGTGAGCTGGGCCCTGAGATGAAGACCCCGTCGTTAGAAATAAACTGCGACGCAGATGCAGTTAACGTCTGCACCAGCTCTGTGAATGGTTCTGGCTTTTGTAGAAGCTGAGCTAGCTTGTTAGCCGCTTTCAAGCAGTACAGAAGGACACCGTGCTCTCCTGCTGTGCGGTCAAGTTGTTGATCCCAGTCAAGGAACTTCCAATCATGCGAGTGGCCTGGATTGAAGGTGTTTGTCTCCGGATCCACATGTCCCAGGGCTCGGTTCAGGCATCCTTGGACGGTTTGCCAGAGTTCATGGCCCGTCTGGACGTCGTTGGATGCACACACATAGTCGTAGACGGTTGGCGCAAACAGCATATCGTAGTCGATTATGTAGTCTGTGGACGGCGAGAGCTGGGGCTGCTCGAACACACATGCAGGCAGCGAGCCATCCACCCGGCTCACGGCGGCAAAAAGGTAGAGGCATCGCTTGACCAGCTTGTAGTCTCGGAATGTGGAGTATGCTGCAAGGGCTTGCAGCCTCAGGTCTCCGATCCAGAGTCTCCGATCCCGGCGGGGCCCGTCTTCAAAGACCATCTGCATACAGTCTCGCAAAGTGGAGATACTGACGTGGTCGATGGTGTCCAGGATTGGGTCATTATACTTCACAATTTCGACTGGTGTATCCTGACTGATCGAACTGACACACTTGCATACGACGTCTGAAAAGCGAACTGTATACTTGGGAGAAACGTCGATCACCTGAACCCTAAGATACCTGAACGAATATCTTCTAGGAAGTGAGACGTCGGTTGGGCAGAAGTCAACGTTGATGGTCTCATCTGGGAGCCAGCTCGTACTCAACCAAGTGTCAACGTTCTTCATATCCATTGTAACATCAAACAATGATTCTCCAAAGGTGAGGTGAAGGCGGCAAGGTGCATCCATATTCGCACCTGTGAAGTCGAGGACGAAGGACAGATATCCAACCATGTGGATCCCAAAGTCCAGAACAAACTCATCGTTCTTCGTCCAGTTCAATGAAGGGAGCGACGATATAGAGTGATCGCTAGTCTTGGGCCGGACATGGAAGTATGCGTCGCTGTCGGGCTCAAACTCGACTATTCTTCGAGGCCGCCTAATCCACTCGTGCAGCGAGGGACGCAGGCTGTTGGCGATGTCCTCGAATCTCCTGTTCCACCTGGTCTCCGTTGTGCTTTCAGTCATATCCTTGGGTGGTTGCGCTGCCATTTTTCCTTTTTGAAATTCTCGCTACAAGAAGAATTCCGTGTCTGACATCTGGTATCCATGCTCAGCTTCGGCTGCCTAAGCTTCTCAATATATCATCAATGCCAAGGGATCTCGGGATATTCAAGTCCGAGCGAGCGCAGTCACTCGATTTTAGCGCTTCGGTTATGCAACTCTACCAGCTGGTATGTGCCTCACTAGGCCATTGTCGATTAGTTACAGACTGGCAACAGGTATTGACTAACATAATCTACCACATACAGTTCCCGTTAAGCTCCCTGCATACGTATCAACCAACATACCGTCGCGCGACGCTGCTTTTAAGTTACGCGACAGTGGTGAGCTTAGATTAGTCCAGAATACCAGAGGAGATAGGAGACTTAGAGCGACAAGGGAAACTTCGTGTGATGCCATGCCTGATCTTTCATCATAGTGGGAAGCAGACCGCAGCCCTTTTAATCATTCTGGGACACTCTGTGATTTATTGAGAGTGTGTACTTCACATACGAGAGCGCAGTTTCTAAGATAGTCCTTTTGGATACAACGTTATGTACCTTAGGAGGCTAGGAGGCTAGGAGGCTATGAGGCTATGAGGACACGTCGCTGCAGCTAAAGTCTTTGGCTGTTTGACGTTGAGGCGAACAGACCTATCGAACTTCTACTTCACCAAGTGCTACTCCAGACGCATGGCTGATGACACATCAGGCACTCCTTCACCTTCTACCAGTTTCGCACCTACAATTTGATCGACCGGAATCTCTGCCAGTCGCGAAATGATATGCTGCAGGGTTGGCAGCGATTCCCAGCCCAGCGCATCGATCGTGAAGGAAGCTTCGGTCGTTTTGCGTACACGTATCACCTTGGACGGTACCACCTTGGATTCTGCTGCATGAGGTACGAAGACTGGATACTCAGCCTCCGCCTGTCCTTTGCAATCGCGGCCGACCTTGGGAATATAACGGTGCACGAGGATACCATCGCTGGGTTCCCCACCGATAACACCGGGGTCATTTCCTGGGTCCACATCCTTGAGGTTTTCCAGGTGGAAGTGTCCCCAGACGGCGCCTTCCCAACTAGTCTGGAGGTGATAGGAACCGCGCCGTTCGCGTGCATCAATGGCTGTGTAGAGCTTGGGCATGCCGAGTTCCTCTCTGCCACTGATGATAGGATCGGCCAGGTTCTCAAACAGGATAGGCATGTATGTGCCCTTGACGACCTCGCCATTGGCTTTCTTGTATTGCACACCTTCAATGTAGAGTCCTAGATGGCGGTATCCGCCACCACCCAGCCAGTCCATTCCGTTCAGCGTTGTTTGTGAGAAACTTGCATAGGCTATAGTCCCAGGACTACTGAAGCTGTATGACTCGTTCGGCAGCAGGTTTTGGAGCAACGTGCGGCTGGTCCTGAAGCGGATTGATGCCGTCTTGAAGGTTGATCTCAACGACTTCACCGCACGATCTTGGCCATAAAAGTCCTGCCTTGGGCCGGGCATTGGCCCGAAGACGATGGGCTGACGCCAGTACATCCGCGGGTTCCTGGCCCAAAGATACTTGCGCAGAATCTGTGTCGAATGATCGAACTCGTCATGGCCATAGATGTAATTCACTATTGCTTGGGCTGAGATGAGTCAGCCAGAGCTTTTCCTGGAGGTCCAAAAACGGGGCAGGGGCTTACATTCAGCTGGTGGCAGCGGACCATGCGCGGAATCCCGTGTCATGTTCTGGACGGTGGTTGCTCGCTCGTGGCGGGCTTGGTTATAGAGCTTTAGACGCTCTGGAATCTCGTGCCGCTGAACACCATTCGACAGCATAACACCAAGTGCTACGCCATCCTCAATAGCCATGGCCCCTCCAGAGCCACGATAGGGCAAGAAAGGATGGGCCGCATCTCCAATGATAGCCATCGAACCTTCGACCCAGGTGAGAAGCGTGTCCATATCCAACAACGGCCAGATTCTCAGCGTTTCGGCCTCCGCCTTGCCAAGCAACTTAACCAACAGCGGGTCAAAGTCTTTGTACACCTCAATCAAAGCATCCTTGCCGGCCGACTGATTCCACTCCGTGCCTGTCTCAATGGCAGTCATTGTACTGGGGTGCAGGCAAACAAAGTTCAGGATCTCGTTGTTCTGACACGGATAGATGACCACTCTCCGATCAGGCGAGTCCCACATGTCGATCACACCACGATCCTTTGCGAGTTCTCGAGTTTCGGGGTCGTCCAGTGCCGCCTGGCGTGACATCAAGAACCGGAATGCGTTCCTGCCTGAGTCATAGGGTGCAATATTGCTGGTGTTGGGCAATTTAGATCGAGCAACGGAATGCACGCCGTCTGCGGCGATGACGACGTCACCCTGAACCACCTGTCCGTCTCCAAGTGTGACGGTGGCACGGTGCGGATCGATGTCAATCACTTTGCTGGAGGTGTGCAGCTCAGCGGGAATGCCGGGGCCTGGTGCCAGAGCAGCAGCCTTGAGACCTTCATGGAGATGAGCGCGGTGTACCAGAAGCCATTTCTGTGTGTTGGTTGTCAGCATCGCTGGGCATCAAGCAGGGCAATGAAAGCGACTCACGTTTCGCCACATGCTGGCGAGCTCCTTCACTGGAACGATTTGAAGGACTTTGCCGTCGGTTGAGCGCTCGCGAAGCTGTCAAGTCTTAGCATTTGGCCTTGCTTGACCTGGCCTACGTTGAGCACGAACCATTTCTGTTTCGACCGCTCCGAACTTGGTCGCATCCACCCCGAGCCGTAAAAGGACACTGTTGGCATTTGGGGAGATGTGAATCGCTGCCCCGATTTCATTCGCAAAACGGCTTCGCTCGAACAACTATGAACGTGTCAGACTTAAGGGTTCGCTCCAGATTCAGAGGAGAACGCCGGGTCACTCACGATGACGCGGTGGCCTTGTTGTCTGAGAGCTATAGCTGCAGTTAAGCCGCCAATACCAGCTCCCACTATTAGAATTTGGAGGCTATCCTGCTCGGTCCCGTTCAAGTCGTTGCTCCCCATGGCGGTTGAATCTCTTGGCCGGAACTTACAGCACGGAAGCTGTAGATGTAACTTTCCTTGACACAGGACCTCTCCCCAACGTAGCCTTGCTCCGCTTTATTTGAGAGAAGCTGAACGCAGAGCAGTGACATGCGCACCCTTCGGAAAACCTCATGCCATTGGCCCCGCATCATCAAGGGGAAATCGAGGAAACCTCGCGGCTGGCCATCGGCTCCGCATATCGGCTCCACATGCGGAGAGGGACAGAGGGCAGTCGCCCGCTGATGCGGACGTAAGCCCTTTGACGGAACGGATAGCGGGATTTAATTGTGTTTATAAATTAATTGTCACACATGCTATCGGGAGCGACACTTCCAGCCCTTTCATCTCAGATTCTCGAAGGCCAAGCGACGTCATGCCGAATCCAGTTCGTGAAGACATCACCACGAGGGATGATACTTCGTTCCCCTACATCTTTGAACAGAATGTCACTATCCAGTTGAAGGATGGCTCCGGTCTAGTGCGCTGCAATGTCTATCGTCCCAAAGACCTTGAGAGGGCTCCCGTTCTGGTCACATACGGGCCGTACGGCAAGGACATTCATTACCGCGAGTATGCATAGTTTTATTGCGCGGCTGTTTATGTGCCCAGATTGCTGACCCGGCTAGTTTCCACCCCAAGTCATTCAGCGAAGTCAACCCCGAGCACCGCTCGGAGCATTCCGCGTGGGAGACGCCCGACCCCGGTTTCTGGACCAAACACGGCTATGCGATTGTTCGGGCGGACGAGAGAGGAACAGGTCAATCACGGGGCAGGCTGGACACCATGTCACGCGAAACCAGCGAGGCTTTTTTCGACGTCATCGAGTGGGCAGCGGAACAGCCATGGTCGACCGGCAAAATTGGTCTGCTGGGTATCAGCTACTACGCGGGTAGCCAGTGGAGAGTAGCCGCGCGCCAGCCCAAGGGCCTCGCCTGCATTATCCCCTGGGAGGGCATGTCGGACTACTATCGGGACCGTTGCCGTCATGGAGGCATTCTGAGTAACTCCTTCATCAAATTCTGGTGGGACCGGCAGGTTGTCAGCAACCAGTACGGTCGCCCCGGCCGCGCAGCGCATAACTGGGGCCCTGATACCATTGAAGGCGACCTTCCGGAGGAGGAACTGGTGGCCAACCGACAAGATCAGACAATCGACAACGCCGAGAATTACTTCCGCGATGATATCTACTACGCGTCCAAGGAATACACACCGTCTGACATCAAGGTGCCATTGCTCTCCGTCGCAAACTGGGGTGGCATTCTTCTGCACCTGCGGGGAAATGTGGAGGGCTATACGCAGGCAGGCAGCGAGCTCAAGTACTTGCGATTCATCACCGGTCGACACGACCTCCCATTCTACTACCCGGAAGAAGTTGAGATTCAACGTAGCTTCCTCGATGCGTTCCTCAAGGGTGAGGATCGTGTCGGCTGGAGCAACGGAACGGCGCCAAAGGTAGACATTGTTCTACGCAAGGGCAACGTCGGATTCAACAATGCGGAAGCCGAGAAACAGTTTCCTCGTCGTGTTGAGAATGAATGGCCCATTGCTCGGACACAGTACACGAAGTACTTCCTCACGTCCGACCGTCAACTGGTCACTGAAGCCAGACAGGAACGACCGGTGAAGATCACCTACCGCGCTCTGGGAACTTTGGACAACCCCCGGCTTGTGCAATTCACAACTGCGCCATTTGAGCAGGAGACGGAGATCACCGGACATATTGTCGCGCATTTGAATGTGTCGATGAGCCCTGACCCGGGTGCCCCGACACCGCGGGACATTGATCTGTTCGTCACGCTGCGGTACGTCTCCCCCGAGGGCAAGGAGGTCTTCTATACCGGCACGGCAGGCGACCCGGTACCTCTCTGCAAGGGATGGCTGCGTGTCAGCATGCGAAAGGTGAACAAGGAGCATCGCCGTCATCGAAGCTATCTGCCCCATCGCGACTACTACTCCACCGATGTGCTGCCGGTGATTCCGGGCGAGGTGTACGGGGTCGATGTGGAGGTGTGGCCCACGAATGTGGTCGTGGAGAAAGGGGGCAAGATAGTTTTTGAGGTTTCGTCTGGGGACACCCAGGGCTGCGGTATTTTCCAGCATAACTCCCCGACTGACCGGTAGGCCACCTTTTCTCGCAGGTCTTTCTTTATACTAACTTGGACAGAGCACCGGAGAAATTCCAGGGTCAGAACCATATCCACTTTGGACATGGCGATAACTATGTGGTCCTGCCCATCATTCCCCCGAAGGCATAGACAGATATGGCTGAGATATGATAGTTGCATTCGTATGAATATACTCTAATTGCATGAGTCGGAAGATCCGGCTGTCGTTCCTAGATTGATAATCGTAGGATTCAGGAAGTAGACCCGCGGCGGAAGCGTCCCAACAGATCTCCGCTCCCGATGTGGTCCCGAGACAACAATAGTATGCCAATTGGAGTGGAACACAACATGAAACTACAGCATGAGGGATATAACTTACTTCTGTCCCCTCTGTACCTTACGAAAACATACTAGACAGAAACACAAGGTCCTCTAATTCCTCTAATTACACCCGTATACCAAACAATACTATCCAAAATGTCCTCCCAACCAAAGAACATTCGCCCCCTCAAACGCTATATCACCACTCACGATGCCTCCGGCAAGGCCATCTTCTCCAGCGCCCTGTCCGAGGACATGCCCGTAACCACCATCCCGGATGGCGCCGACTTCTCCCTCGCGTACACCTCCTCGCACTTCCCCGCCAAGTTCAACAACGAGGACGACATCCCCGAGTACGCGAACTACCTCTCGAACCCGCCTGGCATCGTGATCAGTACGGGCTCCGTGTGCCGGATCGTGGATATGCAGCCTGGGGCGACGAGTCCGATGCACCGCACCGTGAGCCTGGACTACGGGGTTGTGCTGGAGGGGGAGGTCGAGCTTGTCCTGGACTCCGGGGAGACGAGGCTGATGAAGAGGGGGGATGTCAGTGTGCAGCGGGGAACGAACCATGCGTGGAGGAATACGAGTCAGACAGAGTGGGCGCGGATGCTGTATGTACTTATGCCGGCTGAGGAGATCGAGATTGGGGGGAAGAAGCTGGGGGAGGAGTTGGGGCATATGGGGGTTAGGCCTAGTAGTTGATTCTGCTTCTGCTTCTGCTTCTGCCTTGTGAATGGATGGACGATTTTATTTTAATAGTTTGGAATTGTGAGAGAAAATGAAGTACTTGTAGAATGGTATTGGTTTGCTAGACGCGTACTGGACGGATCAGAGACAGATGCTGATGATTAAAACTCCCCCCCGATATCATACCGGAAGATCCGGTCGTTGATTCTTCCCCCTGTGAGCCTCCACAGGCGAGCGATAGACTATGAATAGTTAGTAGACCCTTTGGTGATGTTCATGAAACTGAAGCTGAACCGACCGCGTTCAACCACACCCCATGCAGCATCACCTGGATAAACACAAATTCTGCGGGATTGCTCCCCGCTGGTCTCTCGCTCTGGTCTAACCCATGGTTCGCAGGACGGTATGCTGGTACGCGACGGTAATTCGACGGCCAGTTGGCGGGTTGGGCTGCTTGCGAGATGGGGGCTCGTTCAGACAACTGGGGTACTTCGTTGCCGCTGTGGTGGAGTTCATAATCGGCGAGGATGGAGAGGGAGTTGGTGCTTGTCTGGGTAGTTGTAGCTGTTGTCGCCATAATTCGAGTTTGTAGTCTTCGGATTCTTGGTAATAGTCGAGACGAATGTATGTAGGATGTGGTTAGATCTCGACAGGATCACCTGTAGTCTTGCTCAGGAGGCAACATACACTCGGGCGATTCGGAAATCTGGCCTTGGGAAATGAACAGAGGCTAGGATGGGTCCCCCACATTTTTATTCTCGTTCGGAGATACAAAATCGAAGGATCAAGAAGACAAATTAAAATGATCAACTGAGCTTTTGGCCCTCGGGTTGTCCCCATTTGCAGCTCCCCCACCTCCCGAAGCTGGACTGGCCGACTGCACGCTGTGGCATAGGTCGATTAGGATATGAACATGGGAGAAATTTTCCTCTGAGAAAGCCATCTGGACAGTCTGAATCAGACTGTGGTTAACTGACATCGTGTCTTTGTAGTGACTGGACGGTCAGCCGCCGAAGCACCAATGGTCTCCTCGCAGTTCTCCCGGCTGCTCGCAGCAGAGATCGATGGTCGTACCCAAAACACCAGATATCGCCAGAATGAGTTCCATCGCCTCCAGTCGGCCGTCAGCCAGCACATCGATGAGATCTTAGACGCCATCCAGAAAGACTCCGGGAATGGACCCGAAGAAGTCCGCGCGGAGCTGTGTCTCGCGCTCAAGGAGATCCGCACACACTACCTGACACTGAATCTGGAGAAGGACCTTGAAGACGAGTATCGCGTTGTAGCTGGCAAGGACAATACGGACGCGCGGCGCGGCGCAGGCATCGTCTACATTGTCCCCAGCACACATACCATGTTTTACTCCATTGTCTCAGCGCTCAGCGCGGCATTGGTGGCTGGGAATTGTATCATTCTCGAGGTGGGTGTTGACTCTCTGAGAGAGATCAAATGAGAAAGACTGACGGTAGCAGTTGACGAAGAATACCATGGCGCTGCCAGCCGTGCTGCGCAGAATTCTCACCCAGGCCCTCGACGCTGATACCTTCGCCATCAGCGAGGAGAGACCCGATGCTGCTTTCCTCAGCAGGGTGCTCATGGTCTCCCAGACCGGTTCCGCGCCGCTCGCCGAGCGCAGCCTGCTCTCGCCTGCGAACGCGCGAACTGTGGCTGTCGTCGACAGAACGGCATATGTTCCAGCTGCAGCTGAAGCGTTGGTCGCCGCGCGCTTCGCCTTTGGCGGCCGGTCGACGTATTCCCCTGATATCGTGCTGGTTAATGAGTTTGCAATGAAGCAGTTTGTCGAGGCGGTTATCCAGCAGGCGTCCAGATATCTGGCTGGCCCGAACGGTGAGGCACGCCAGGGGGCGTCGAATCCCCGTCGGTTCGGTCCAAGCGCCTCGCTTCTGGATGCTGCGCATAAGGATACGGGTGCTCGCGTGCTTGTCTCTGGGTCCGGATGGGGGGTGGTGGAGGTCCATGATCGGTATGCTTCATCCCGTTGACAGTGGCCGCGGCTAACATTGACTACGATAGAAACTCGCCTCTCCTGACAAAAAAAGTGCAGGAGAAAGTGCTCATCCTTCATCCTGTAACAAGTCTAGACGACGCTATTGACCTTAGCAACGCGTAGGGCGCTCTTCTTTTCCTAGTCTATATTATCGCTGACGGTCTTCAGGAGCGGCCCACTGGCAGCGACATACGCGTTCGGCAGCGCCTCCGCAGCCAAATACATCACTCAGTTCATCGACGCCTCCGTCTCGTGGATTAACCACGTCCCCGTCGACATGCTCAGTACGTCCTCTATTCCGTTCCCTTCCATCCAGCTAACAGACTCAGTCGGCCCTGCCTACCCCATCAACACGACTCCCAGCACCGAAACCCGCTACACGCCCGCTCTCCTCCAGGTCCCCCGTCCTCAGTTCGTCACCGAAACAGACAACTCCGCCTTGGTGAAAAGTATTCTCGACCCCTCAGATGCCACGAGATCAGCAAACGCCTGGCGCGAGGCCCTTGCCCCCCTGCCGTCTACAGGCCAGCGCCCCGGCTGGAAAATCGGATTCTTCGAGCAAGGGCTAATCACCGGTGGGGTGATTACCCTTGCGATGTTGGCAGCGACGGTGTCGACTGTGGGTTGGTACACCTTTACGTATGTGAGGAGGTTGCGTGCTTAGATTTAGTTGGGGTACTGTGTAGTATACTTCGTTGAATCTATTGGTCTTCGGTATATGACACTTTTATCTTCAAAATCGAGGTTCTAATTCTACCTTCAAGTTTTCAGTGGTTTGTGGAGGATGTCAGGCCCTTATCAGATGGACTGGGACCACCTTTCGCACAAAGCATTTAAAGCACGCAACAACATTCAAAAGGAGATTAACTCCCACATGATAGGGAGCAGAATTATCTTGCTCTTAAATAACCATAACTCAATCCGATTATCACGGTAGAAAAGGTAGGCTAGAAAATTGAAGCGGATGATGACTTTGACAGCTTTGGCCGACAAGTACCTTTGGCTATAATGCAAAATCGGAATTTAATCGTAATTCACAGGCTGGTAGATTATATCCTCAATAAATGACTGGATATAGACTAGACAGAAATATCTTTGGACCACGACCCAAGAGTAAACTGCGAATTACACATGTTGGTCAGTTCCCAGCTCTCCGCACCCATGACAGCCGGCGACCCCGTATCCTCGAAATCGCCCATCGCTCCGGCCACAAACATTGCCGCCATAAAGTGGTCGTCCGTGGCATGCGCATCACGGTACTGAGGATGCTTCATCAACCGGGTCATCGCGCGCCGCAGCGCCGGCCCAGAGGTCTTCGTGATGACGTCCTCGACCGCCTGGCGGAACTCGAGCGCCCACTCCTCTGGCGGCGTCTCCATGGCGAAATTATCCCGGAAGCGCAGCATGGGTGCCCAGCAGTTGCGGTACAGATTGTGGACTGCGCCGCCGGTCCCGATGAGGAGGTAGTTATCGTAGCGGAGGGGCCGCAGCGTTGCGCCGACCTTCATATGGTAGTGTGGGTCGTACCGGGCGTTCATCGAGATGATGGTCGTCGGGGGACAACCGTTGGGGAACATGTGGATGAGGATCAGGTAGACGTCATGGATCCAGTCGAAGGTCGGGTTGCCGCTGGCGTTGAAGCCTTCCTTGGTGAGCATGTCGATGCATCGTTGGGCAGTCTCGAGGTCTGGGTTCAACTTGTAGTTGATGTATTTGTCCGGGTGGACGTAGGCCACAGGCGACTTGTCCGGGTTGGGGTTGGTTGCGACCTCGATCTTGTCGCCGAGACAGTCCCAGTGTGCGCCCTGACCGGTCAGCTTGTCGTCAATATTTGAAGTCTGAAAGTTGACTGACCATGATGATTACGCCTTTGATGTTGTGAGCCAGCGCTTCCTCACCAGTCCTCCTCCAGTAGTCTGCCGACTCGGATATCTCTCCCAGCATCATGGTCGAGCCATGGGAAAAGAAATGAACGGGTGTGAGACCTATCTTGTCAGCTATTATTCTGCGAATGCCGTCCAGAGAGCCTGCCATACCCATGTTTTGCTTTGAGTTGGTTGTGTGCTATACCGCGACAGTGATGGGCAGCCTTCGAGATTTCTCTCCGACATCATCGAATTCAAAAAACAAAGACATCACCTTGGAAAAGATTTTCTAGCTGCATTATTATCCGGCACCGACCTATGTCTAGATCTGCTACCCTAGTTTCCGGACATTGGACAGAGGTTGTTCGGGTATGCGCCTCCACATCCCGACGCACCTCCGCATCTCCGAATCTCCGCATATGACGGACTAGAGCTACAATGTGGACTTTTGATATCTTTACAATGATTACATGCCACCACTCCCGCCACCCCTTAAGTTGCACGCACTCCATGGATATACAAACACTATGTATTAATATTAAATCATTATCTAGGATTGATATTAAATCCATAGTATTCGATACCAAATCATGATCTAGTAGGGATATTGAGTGATTTAAATCACCATATAGTAGGGATAGTAAATACTGCTATACTTAGGTATATATATTTTAAATATGCAGTGTTAGTGGGTGGGTTCCGCTATGACCTTCTCTCTAATTATATATTCTACGTATATAGGGCATGACATTAGTATATAAGGATATAATATTCCTACTATATGGTGATTTGAATTATTTATTATCCCAATTCCCAACTATATGGTCATTCGAATCCGTACTATTTATTGATTTGAAATTTTGAATCCCTACTATACAGCAATTTGAATCATTCGATATCCGTACAAATCATGATTTGATATTGAATACTATGGATTCGATATAGATTCAATAATTTAGTATGTGGTAGTAGTGGCAATAGGTAATACATGCGGCGAACAGTAAATACTTCAAAAGTCCACACTGTAGCTACAGTCCCGCCGTATCCGCATTCTGACTTGGGCGGCCCCAAACGAGGACATCCGAATGACCAATCTCTGCACCATGACTTGCAGTGATTATAATCCTACCGATTGCCCTGCTGAATGCTGGCGGTGTATGAAGAGTGAGTGCTCTGAGGTTGAACTATTAATATTGAACTGCCTGTGCCATGAGATCTTCAGAACCAGCCTGACCAGGATTGGCATCCACTCTTTGGATCAGAGGAGCATAGCCCTGTTTTCTTTCAAGCTGGGAAGCTGAATGAAATTGATTGTCAGCTGCATTTAGAGTACCATTAGTATGGACCTGTAGTCTCGTTGCAAAATAAAGTCAGAACGGTTAGAGTGAGCCTCAGGCAAACAGCCATGGCGTCGGCAATTCTGCTTCCCCGCATATTCAGCATTTTAGCTTCATCCACCCCAGACTTCCCCATTTCCATCATTTCTCCTCGTTCATCATCCGCTACTCACAGCTGCATATCCGAATTTCTTCTGTCTGACGATCTTTATGTCTCGGACCAATCCCTCCCAAGTAGAGTTTCCTCATAAGATTCATGTATCTTCGCCATGGCGACTGACTCCCCGCTCCCCATTCTCGACAACTCTCCCCACAGCTCCCTCGCCGGGCAGCGCGACGGCTATTTCCAGTGCGGTTCCTGCGAAAA